GAATCTGGGAAAATGTTTTACAAACTACAATTAAAGCCACCGATTTAACAACATCGGATGCAAAAATAACCCTTATACCTTATGTTCCACAAGCTGGTAATTACAAGGTCACAATTGCAACGCTCACATGTCTACCATTTGGTTGCGATAAAGCAGCATCAGTTGATATTACAATAACTGTAGCTCCAGGAGTATCTCAAAATATCACCATTTCACAAAATACTCGATTCAGCAAAGAAGATTTAATTTATGAAGGATTCGTGCTTCAAACATCAAATAATTTTCAACCGACAGTAGAAATCACTTTATCTAAAACAACTCCTCCTGTAGGTGGAGGTGATGTACTGATAATTGCAGATTTTGTAAAATTTGTTAAAACTAATAATGGTGCCCCATTAAGTAGTTTGCTTTTATATATTCCCCAATCTGATCAAAATCCTCAAGCCCTATGGGACGGTTTTAATGGTAACGTAGTCAAACTATTTACAATATTATAGATTAATGATATCTATTATGATTGTTTTTATTATCATCATCATCATCATTAAAAATTTTTATATCTTCTTTATTCTAATAAATTAGGATTGTTGGCACCTAGATCTGTTGTTCATGATATAGTTGTTTTAGAACAATCATCGTTAGTTATAGGTGGATATTTCGATAATGCGGCATCCAATAACATTGTAAAATATGATGGTTCAACATTTAATCCCCTTTCCAATAAAGGTCTTAATGGTCCGGTGCGTACAATTGAAAAAGTTGGCAATAGTTTATTAGTTGGTGGATTATTTAGCAATACGTCTGACAATCAAATTATAGGTTTAAATAATTTGGCCAAATATGATCTTACTGAAAACAAATGGTCCAGTTTATCTGGTGGCGTTAATGGTGGAGTTGAGCGAATTGCTCTGGTTAATCAAGATGGTAGTAGTAGACAAGTTCATGTAGCTGGTAAATTTAATACTTTAATATCACCAAATTCTCAAGTTAATGGAAATGTTACATTTGGTTATGCAATATGGGATGAAAGAAGCAGTTGAAACGTCATACGATTCTTTTTGACCTATAACATCATATTCAGATATACCGTCGTATTGTCCTGTTATTAGTAATTTTGAAGTAGCATCAAAATATACGCCAGGATTGTCTGCTAAAATAATAGTAAAAGAAAGTTGATATATTACTATAAAACATGTTAATATTATAAGGTTTGAATAATGTGGTATTAATATTAGTTTCATTTTTTTTAAAACATTGAATGAATGAATCTAAACTTCTAGAAATTAATGTAAATTATTATTTATTATTAAATTAAAATAAATATTAAGATCTATATATATGTATTGAATTAAATAGAAATGTTTTTTATTTAATAAAAAAAAATATATCGTTCTTATTCTATATAAAGTTCGAGCGAGGGAAAGGAGGTGATATTATTATGCAATGTAGTAAGTGAGGTGTAATTGTTATTATTATTGCTATATACAAATTAATAATAATAATAATAATAATAATAAATAATACACGAGTTGTAAAAACTCAGAAAACTCTAAAAAAAAATTTTATAGCGAAAAAAAAATTTTTTCGGTTTCATTTAATTAGTGATAAATTACCCAAAATAAATTATTATTATTAAAGTTTGATGATGTCACTTATTGTGTTAATTATCTAAATTATTTTAGCAGTGTGATAATACAGTAAACAATACAAATTCATTCATTTCTATAATTGCAAAGTTGATTATAGCTATAAACATTTTCTTTTTCTCAAGGCTTTTTTCCTTTCAATATTTATCCTCGGAGGAAGGATATTAATTTTCGGCTGATGTATACATGAAAAAGATGCAGGCAATTAATTATAACTGTTATATGAGGGTCCTATAATCCTAATACTAATACATATATGATCGACATATATTTTTCTATTTTAATCTTTATATATTTTTTTTCAATCAAAACCAATATATTCAACATAATAATTCAGTTTAATATCACTTAATTTGCCTTCTTTGAAAAATACTTAATAATGATGATATGGTATTATTGTTTTTGTATTGTATTATATTTATAATTATAGTACTTTTCATAATTGTAAAAAAAAAAATAATCTCATGCGCACATGCACACATATTTTAAATATTTCCTTCTCTGCGTAATACTTTTCTTTCTTCCAACTGTTTTGTTTTTTAAAAGAATTCAAAATTGGGGGGGTTTAAATTATACACATTCAGATAGATTTAATTAAAGAACAAGTAATATTTTAATAATAACTATAATATTTACCCATCGTTTTTTACATTCACGATACATTGAAAAATATTCCTGGCATTTGGTTCTATCGTAATTATTGACATCTAAGCATTTCAACGAAGCTGTGCTTTCCTTCTGACAAAATTCCATGAATTGTGAAGGTAATTTTTTTTTATAAGCTAAATGAATATTTTCTTCTTTTTGTGAATTCATATTTTTCCTTAATATTAAAAACAAAAATTCAAAGTTTCACACATCACTTAATATGACTCAGTAATTTCATTCAATAATGTGAAAAGTACTATGTACTATAAGAAGTAAGGATTTACAAGGCACGTGACGTTGTTGATAAATTGGTTTATTTATGTTAGAGACCAATAATATTTTGTTATAAGAATTGCGTGCAACGTCGAAAACTTAAAAATAATGTCATTTGGCAATTCCAGACAATTATAATGCTACGTTGTAAAACCTTGCACTAGTTAAAATGCAGTTTTTTAAAGAGAGAAATTTTTTGACACAAGATCTAATAGATCCATCAAGGATAAAGCCGTGTAACAGGGCAAAAATTGGTTATTTCCACCTTAAAAAACCATTTTTAAAATCTATTAAAACATTTATTTATATGGATGGCGGTTTTATTTTTACATGATCTAGAGATCAAATAGGCGTTGATCCAAGTTGTTTTATAGATTAGATGTTTAATGAGTTAAGAATTGAAATTATATTTATTTATTTTTTATTAAGAAATTAATTTTTAATTGATTATTTATTTACAACTTCCATGCCATTTTATTTTTAGAGATCAGATGAGTGTCAATACAAGTTAATTCATCTCTATTGGTTGGGTATATTGCTCAGATATAGAAGAAATAGACTCATAAGATGTAAAAAAGTCAACAAATCACAATTTTATTAAACAATCTTGTCGCATATTAACTATATATAATTTTTAAATATGACGTTAACAGAAATCCAAGCTTTCTTTTGAGTCTAAGATTATTAAATTCGGTAAGGTATTCAGAGAGTTACAGAAATATATAGGTAAAACCCCATTTTTTGAAATTACATGGAATCTATTAAAACATTTATTTATACGGATGGCGGTTTTATTTTTACATGATTTAGAGATCAAATAGGTATTGATCAAAGTTGTTTAATATCAATAGAGTAGATGTTTAATGAATTAGGAATTGATATTATATTTATTTTATTTTTTATTAGGATCAATAGAGAATTATTGAAAATTTAAAAAAAAATGATTTTGGCTATATAACAAATATAACTTTATCTTTAAATGACATAGTCAAAGAAATTCAAACAAAACACTCAGTAACTAGATCGGTTTACTCAATAAGTCGGCCAAAATTTTCACCCATTTTTCTTAATATTTAAGTAATTTAATTCGATAAGTCGGTCATATGAGCTCACCCCCACATGACCGACTTATCAAGTTTACATATGTATGTTAATTTTTATGTAATATATTACATATACAGTATATGATTTCCTCTTATTATCTGCGTCCTTATATAACTGAAACAAATGAGAATTTTTTGTATCTAAATGTAAATGCAATATAAACTTTTGCAAAATTAGGCTTGTGGTTTTTTTTGCATGCATTGTGGTTGATTGTATAATATATACACCAAATAGTATTATGCAAAGGTTGTGAAGAAAAAAAATAATAAATGTGGAAATGAAGAAATTGCTAGATTTCTTTACGAATGTAAACTAAATTATAAGTGGAGACCATTTAACGAATTTATACTTGGCTAAAGATGATTTTATTTGGTTGATTGAGGATGAAATGAAGTGAATATTGGGGATGTATATGATTGTGATGAATAATTTTGGTTTTTGAATCTTAGATTTGAAAATCAATCCATTTTTATACTTCGTGCTACGTATGATTGTTGTTATTATTATTATATATATATATATTAAGAAATTTACAACATGATAACATGCCAAAAGACGTATATATAACATTATTATTCAATCAAAATTTTTTTTGAATTTCTGAAATTTATACTATAGTTACATGACCTTCATGTCGATCTTCGGTGTAACGCTATGGCCTGGAATTTTCTACTAAAAAATTCAAAACTTGGCTTTAATTTATCTACAACTTGCTAGAAACTTCCAACACATTATCTAAAGATGTACTACAATTTGAAAAAAAAAACAAAAAACAAACAAACCTAAACTTTTTTGTTCCTCTTCCTTGAAAATTAGTATTTTTCAAACCAATAAAAGTGGGACTTAACTTTACTGGATATTCAGCTCTCCAATAACCAGGAATATTATCTCTTAATAACCATATATTACCGGGGCCGTCTAAATCAGCACTACATATTATTGCAGATGGATTACCAACTGTATAATCAACTGCATTATTACCACCAGAGATCTAAATCAGATCAAAAATAAATAAAACTATAGTTACAAATATATACATTTTTAAAATTTTTTTAAAAAACCATATATGTATGCGTTTTATATACGCATATAAGATTAAATTACCGTAGCATTTCTCATATTTATGGGCTGTGAACCAGTAGACACACCGAATTGACCATCACCAGTAGCATCAAAGCTTCCACCAAAATATATAGTATTATTTTCCTTATTAGATGCAATCGTGTAAACAGGGCCATTAAACCCTTTGAATGGTAGAGGCTGCCATATACCAGTTCCATTATTCCATATAGCCACACCGCTACCAAATTCAGTAGCATTGTAATTATTTTTAGTTGGGTTTACCGGAGCAGAAAACAAACCACCAACATAAACAATCGAATTTGATTTATCACAATACAATGAATGAACAGCCCCATCCAAACCATCCAATAACGAAAGAAAAGTATCAGTAGTAACATCATAACGGATTATGTTGTTTGTAGTTATACCGCCAATACTTGTAAAGTTACCGCCTATAAATACATCTACATCTGCATTATCATTGTTATCAGAAGAACGTGGCAATATACATAATGCATTGATTGTTCCTTGTGTAGAAGTAGAACCAGCGAGTTTATATGTATTATTGTTTGCTAATTGTATAATGAAAGAAGCAGTTGAAACGTCATACGATTCTTTTTGACCTATAACATCATATTCAGATATACCGTCGTATTGTCCTGTTATTAGTAATTTTGAAGTAGCATCAAAATATACGCCAGGATTGTCTGCTAAAATAATAGTAAAAGAAAGTTGATATATTACTATAAAACATGTTAATATTATAAGGTTTGAATAATGTGGTATTAATATTAGTTTCATTTTTTTTAAAACATTGAATGAATGAATCTAAACTTCTAGAAATTAATGTAAATTATTATTTATTATTAAATTAAAATAAATATTAAGATCTATATATATGTATTGAATTAAATAGAAATGTTTTTTATTTAATAAAAAAAAATATATCGTTCTTATTCTATATAAAGTTCGAGCGAGGGAAAGGAGGTGATATTATTATGCAATGTAGTAAGTGAGGTGTAATTGTTATTATTATTGCTATATACAAATTAATAATAATAATAATAATAATAATAAATAATACACGAGTTGTAAAAACTCAGAAAACTCTAAAAAAAAATTTTATAGCGAAAAAAAAATTTTTTCGGTTTCATTTAATTAGTGATAAATTACCCAAAATAAATTATTATTATTAAAGTTTGATGATGTCACTTATTGTGTTAATTATCTAAATTATTTTAGCAGTGTGATAATACAGTAAACAATACAAATTCATTCATTTCTATAATTGCAAAGTTGATTATAGCTATAAACATTTTCTTTTTCTCAAGGCTTTTTTCCTTTCAATATTTATCCTCGGAGGAAGGATATTAATTTTCGGCTGATGTATACATGAAAAAGATGCAGGCAATTAATTATAACTGTTATATGAGGGTCCTATAATCCTAATACTAATACATATATGATCGACATATATTTTTCTATTTTAATCTTTATATATTTTTTTTCAATCAAAACCAATATATTCAACATAATAATTCAGTTTAATATCACTTAATTTGCCTTCTTTGAAAAATACTTAATAATGATGATATGGTATTATTGTTTTTGTATTGTATTATATTTATAATTATAGTACTTTTCATAATTGTAAAAAAAAAAATAATCTCATGCGCACATGCACACATATTTTAAATATTTCCTTCTCTGCGTAATACTTTTCTTTCTTCCAACTGTTTTGTTTTTTAAAAGAATTCAAAATTGGGGGGGTTTAAATTATACACATTCAGATAGATTTAATTAAAGAACAAGTAATATTTTAATAATAACTATAATATTTACCCATCGTTTTTTACATTCACGATACATTGAAAAATATTCCTGGCATTTGGTTCTATCGTAATTATTGACATCTAAGCATTTCAACGAAGCTGTGCTTTCCTTCTGACAAAATTCCATGAATTGTGAAGGTAATTTTTTTTTATAAGCTAAATGAATATTTTCTTCTTTTTGTGAATTCATATTTTTCCTTAATATTAAAAACAAAAATTCAAAGTTTCACACATCACTTAATATGACTCAGTAATTTCATTCAATAATGTGAAAAGTACTATGTACTATAAGAAGTAAGGATTTACAAGGCACGTGACGTTGTTGATAAATTGGTTTATTTATGTTAGAGACCAATAATATTTTGTTATAAGAATTGCGTGCAACGTCGAAAACTTAAAAATAATGTCATTTGGCAATTCCAGACAATTATAATGCTACGTTGTAAAACCTTGCACTAGTTAAAATGCAGTTTTTTAAAGAGAGAAATTTTTTGACACAAGATCTAATAGATCCATCAAGGATAAAGCCGTGTAACAGGGCAAAAATTGGTTATTTCCACCTTAAAAAACCATTTTTAAAATCTATTAAAACATTTATTTATATGGATGGCGGTTTTATTTTTACATGATCTAGAGATCAAATAGGCGTTGATCCAAGTTGTTTTATAGATTAGATGTTTAATGAGTTAAGAATTGAAATTATATTTATTTATTTTTTATTAAGAAATTAATTTTTAATTGATTATTTATTTACAACTTCCATGCCATTTTATTTTTAGAGATCAGATGAGTGTCAATACAAGTTAATTCATCTCTATTGGTTGGGTATATTGCTCAGATATAGAAGAAATAGACTCATAAGATGTAAAAAAGTCAACAAATCACAATTTTATTAAACAATCTTGTCGCATATTAACTATATATAATTTTTAAATATGACGTTAACAGAAATCCAAGCTTTCTTTTGAGTCTAAGATTATTAAATTCGGTAAGGTATTCAGAGAGTTACAGAAATATATAGGTAAAACCCCATTTTTTGAAATTACATGGAATCTATTAAAACATTTATTTATACGGATGGCGGTTTTATTTTTACATGATTTAGAGATCAAATAGGTATTGATCAAAGTTGTTTAATATCAATAGAGTAGATGTTTAATGAATTAGGAATTGATATTATATTTATTTTATTTTTTATTAGGATCAATAGAGAATTATTGAAAATTTAAAAAAAAATGATTTTGGCTATATAACAAATATAACTTTATCTTTAAATGACATAGTCAAAGAAATTCAAACAAAACACTCAGTAACTAGATCGGTTTACTCAATAAGTCGGCCAAAATTTTCACCCATTTTTCTTAATATTTAAGTAATTTAATTCGATAAGTCGGTCATATGAGCTCACCCCCACATGACCGACTTATCAAGTTTACATATGTATGTTAATTTTTATGTAATATATTACATATACAGTATATGATTTCCTCTTATTATCTGCGTCCTTATATAACTGAAACAAATGAGAATTTTTTGTATCTAAATGTAAATGCAATATAAACTTTTGCAAAATTAGGCTTGTGGTTTTTTTTGCATGCATTGTGGTTGATTGTATAATATATACACCAAATAGTATTATGCAAAGGTTGTGAAGAAAAAAAATAATAAATGTGGAAATGAAGAAATTGCTAGATTTCTTTACGAATGTAAACTAAATTATAAGTGGAGACCATTTAACGAATTTATACTTGGCTAAAGATGATTTTATTTGGTTGATTGAGGATGAAATGAAGTGAATATTGGGGATGTATATGATTGTGATGAATAATTTTGGTTTTTGAATCTTAGATTTGAAAATCAATCCATTTTTATACTTCGTGCTACGTATGATTGTTGTTATTATTATTATATATATATATATTAAGAAATTTACAACATGATAACATGCCAAAAGACGTATATATAACATTATTATTCAATCAAAATTTTTTTTGAATTTCTGAAATTTATACTATAGTTACATGACCTTCATGTCGATCTTCGGTGTAACGCTATGGCCTGGAATTTTCTACTAAAAAATTCAAAACTTGGCTTTAATTTATCTACAACTTGCTAGAAACTTCCAACACATTATCTAAAGATGTACTACAATTTGAAAAATCATATAAATTATCCAACAATTATCCTCTCCTCCCCCGTAATCATTTATAATAAATAATAATATAATAAAATAATATTCTCATCACAAATTAAAAAAAAATCGAAAAAAAAATCGAACAAAAATGGCAGAAGTTGAACAATTTTCATTTCAAGCTGAAATTTCTCAGCTTATGTCTATAATTATAAATACATTTTATTCAAATAAAGAGTGAGTAATCAATGGAATTTTTTATTCGTTTTTTTTTCGTTCAAAAAATTTTTTTTTAATACAAATAAAAGTAAAAAAACGTACAAACATAAATTAATAAGCAAATTAAACATTTTTTTAGAATTTTCCTTCGTGAATTGATTTCTAATGCATCTGATGCCTTGGATAAAATTCGATATGAATCGCTTACAGATCCATCAAAACTTGAAACAGGGAATGAACTTTATATCAAAATTATTCCGGATAAAGAAAATAAAACTCTTTCCATTAGAGACACTGGTATCGGCATGACAAAGGTATATATTATTTATTTACATATATAATATATATATACATATATGCATATGTGTTAAATTTAATTTAACTTAATAATTAATGTTTGGAAAATTTTTTTTTCTATATAATTATATCGTAGGCCGATCTTGTTAATAATCTTGGTACAATTGCTCGATCAGGCACTAAAGCATTTATGGAAGCTCTCCAATCTGGTGCTGATATATCAATGATTGGTCAATTTGGTGTTGGTTTCTATTCTGCTTATTTGGTAGCTGATCGTGTTCAAGTGATTACAAAACATAACGACGATGAACAATACATTTGGGAATCTGCTGCTGGTGGTTCTTTTACAATCACTCGTGACACAATCAATCCTCCTCTTGGTCGCGGTTCTGAAGTTAAATTGTTTCTTAAAGAAGATCAACTTGATTATTTGGAGGAACGTAAAATAAAAGAAGTTGTCAAGAAACATTCTGAATTCATTGGTTATCCAATACAACTAGTTGTTGAAAAAGAAGTTGAAAAAGAGGTTGAAAAAGAAACCGAAGAAAGTGCGGGAGAAGAAAAGAAAACAGAAGAAAGTAAAATAGAGGAAATTGATGAGAATATGGAGGATGAGAAAAAAACAAAAATTGAAGAAATCGACGATGAGGAAGATGAAAAAGAAAAAGAAAAAAATAAGAAAAAGAAAGAAAAAGTTAAAGTTAAAGATGTTGAAGAACTTAACAAAACAAAGCCAATTTGGACGCGTAATCCTGATGATATAGAACATGCAGATTATGCTGCCTTCTATAAATCAATAACTAATGATTGGGAAGAACATTTGGCTGTTAAGCATTTCTCTATTGAGGGCCAACTTGAATTCAGAGCACTTCTTTTTGTTCCAAGTCGTGCTCCATTCGACTTATTTGAGACCAAAAAGAAACGTAACAATATCAAACTCTATGTAAGGCGTGTGTTCATTATGGATGATTGTGAAGAGTTGATACCCGAATACCTTAATTTTGTTAAGGGTGTTGTAGACTCTGAAGATTTGCCCCTAAACATTTCACGTGAAACGCTTCAACAAAACAAAATACTTAAAGTTATTAGAAAAAATATCGTAAAGAAATGTTTAGAAATGTTTAGCGAAATTGCCGAAGATAAAGAGAAATTTGCCAAATTTTACGAAGCATTTTCTAAAAACATTAAACTTGGCATTCATGAAGATTCACAAAATCGAGCTAAATTAGCTGAACTCCTTCGTTTCAATTCGACAAAATCTCCTAATGAACTAACGTCATTAAAAGATTACGTTACAAGAATGCCTGAAAAACAAAAATCAATTTATTACATCACTGGTGAAAGTCGTCAAGGAGTTGAACACTCGCCATTTGTTGAAGTTCTCAAGAAGAGAGGTCTTGAAGTGTTGTTTATGACTGATCCAATTGATGAATACTGTATTACACAACTTAAGGAATATGAAGGCAAAAAACTTGTTTCTGTTACAAAAGAAGGCTTGGAACTTGACGAGGATGAAGATGAGAAAAAGAGACATGAAGAAGAAGCGAAACAATATGAAAGTTTGTGTAAACAGATTAAAGAAATACTTGGTGATAAAGTTGAAAAGGTAAGTATTAACTGTTTTATTAATTATTGTAAATTTTTTTTCTTATTCGAGTTAATAAATATATACACTGTGTGCGTGTAGGTTCTTGTTTCAAATCGTATTTCAGAATCACCTTGTGTACTCGTAACAGGACAATATGGCTGGTCAGCTAATTTTGAACGTATAATGAAGGCACAAGCACTTCGTGATTCAAGTATGGCGTCTTACATGGCATCAAAGAAAATAATGGAAATCAATCCACATCACCCAATCATTAAATCACTCAAATCAAAAGTTGAAGCAGATAAAAATGATAAAACAGTTAAAGATCTTACATGGTTATTATTTGAAACCTCACTTTTACAATCTGGATTTAGCTTGGAAGAGCCATCATCGTTTGCCAATAGAATCTTTAAAATGATTAAACTTGGTCTTGATATTGGTGATGATGATAACGATGACAATCGTGTAGAACCCATGGAAATTGAAAAGGACTCAACTGAGGCAGAAGCATCTCACATGGAGGAAGTTGATTAAATTTAATTTTATTATTCGTAATAAGGTCACTTTTTTTTCCTCTCCTTTCCTAGATTATAATGTATTATAGTAATAATTGTGGTAGTTATGATATAAATAATAATACTTTATTGATAAAATTTTATTATAAATGTCTTGAATTTGTTTTAATCATTTATATATGTATATAGATATATATTATATATCATTTATTAATTAATATTAAACAAAAAAAAATAAAAAAACATTTTACAATTATTTTTTATAAAATGAACGAAATTTAAAAATTATTCAAAATAATATTTTCAATTCGATCATCTATATATTGAACTTTATCACTATAAAAGTTATCTACAAAATTTCGAACAAACTCAACATGGCTTTCTTTTCCAAATACCCAATAAGCTCTCGACGAAATTAAGAACCCTATAAAAACCCACAC